ACTAAGGAGTGGTTTCTTGGTTCCATGTTGCAAACACATGGGTGCTTTTATACCCACACTCTCCCAGAGTGTTAAAGGCAGGCAGTGAGGCTGCCACATACACAATCACCACACTGGACTGTCTGTTGTGGGCAGATGTTGAGGTTCTGTGTCCGACCGAGAGCGCAGACCTAATTAAGACTGAAGAAACACATCATTTTATTTGGCTTTCTCTACTCCTTGGCCTCGCTTTGATCCGATGATTATTACCAGCTCTTTGGCTCAGCAGAGGAGTAGAGGGCGGGGAAGCATTGTGTCTCATGCTGACAGCTCCCAAACAAAATAACCTCCCTCCCCAGGTTGTTACAGCTGACACTCCCAGCTGGGTTGTCAGCAGTGAGGTCAGTAACAGAATCCAGCTGCCTGCTGATGTTTGTTCCTCTACTGTGGATTAAGCACAAGCCAGCCATCTGCTGGCGTCCTGTAGTGTAATACTGTACATGCACTCGCTTCATGTACAATACATGGACAGTCTCATTTACACTCTTGAGAGCGTCCTTCCCCTCACGAGTGTCCAGTAACCTCGGTAAGTGACGAGAAGGGCAGACATCATTGTAGTAAGGCTGTGACAGTAAGGATTTATCTTGCAATGACAGGTCAGAATTAGTTCAGCGGTTATGAGGTTTACCAAAAATCAAATAATAAATGACCCTCCTATAAGCTATAGCAGCTGTAGACTTGGATATAAAACCACTGCAATGGATTCCATTGGTGACCCAGAGTTATGGCATGATGATCGTAGCATAATTCACTCGTATGCTGTTTGTTCAGTATGAACACGAATAGTTTCTTCAAAACATGACAAAGTAGCGCAAACGATTGTGAGTGACACCGCCATGAATGCCCTATGGGGACAAAATATTGAGGGTTAATTCTTGACCATGGAAACAGTAGGTTGAACAGTAGCTTGGTAAAAAACACAACGACTTCAAGACATTACAAGACAGCAAGTTGTTTACTGTGAACAGTACAGCGACCTTGTGAACAGTGGTTGGCTGGTGGGAAGCAATCATTTTGAAAGAGTGATAACAAACCTGAGTTTGCTATGATGGAGATACATGAGTAGGCAGAAGGTGCCACATTAACAAGGTATTGCGGTAATCCTTCCAGCCGAACATGGTTGAGACCCCTGAATTATATGCTGCTCTTTCATCAACTCTTACGTATAAGAAGAAGAAGAAGAAGAAGGAGAAGAAGGAGAAAGCAGTGCAACATGTCTCAGTTGGCCTGCAGCAGAGGTTTACTTGATTTATTGGGCTTTCTAGATAAAAACTGTAAAAGGATCATTCGGTCACCTCAGAGAATCACTTCATAGTGTTATTGATTTCTTCACTGTTTTCCTGTCAACAAAATGATCAGATCTCACTATTACGTCTATCTGCTCACTACCTTCCATCCACTGCAATGTGTAAGCTAATTACTGTTCTACCGTATCACATAGAATGAGTTATGGATTGATATTGAATGTTTTTTTCATGGTGCATGCATGTGGTGTGAAAGTGGCTTGATAGAAAACGCCACACCAGCCTTCTTTCTTGATGCCTGCAGCTGCTCAGTTCAATTTAGACTCGTCTAAAGCATGGTTACAGTTTAAATCCCATCACACTGTTTATCTTCCATAGTCTGGCTTAAGACACTGTGATTGATTTTTCAGGATGAAGCCCCTTCGGGTCACTTCTGAGCGTTTGTTGTCTTTGTTTATTCTTTCTAGGGGGCTGTTTGCAAGTAACTATATAGAAACCCATTACCTGGAAGATGGAATTGCGGTCACAGGCTCTCACAACTTCACGGTATGTTAACAACCTTTTATTTTTTTTATTATTAAGGCTGACACAATTCTTCATCACCCACCCGACAGCTCTCAGGAATGTTGGGCTTCTGTGGAGCCCTTCTTCTTGTCGGGTTCTGCTTCATTGTGCTTCTTCTTGTTTGATGTCGTCTATTGACCCAACTGCGACATCAATTGGGTCAGTTGATGTCACAGTTAGACCCACTTTTAAACCGCTTAGAAGGGGGTAATCTTGCACATAAAGAATCCTGGATAGGTGAGTGGGACCATTTTTGTTATTTTCCAGCAGTTTCATTTTTGATGAAATAAAGGGCGGACACAGGTCAGAGAACAGACTCAGTTTCAGGGAACGGCTCAAGTCTTTTTTATAATGGATGAATTTCAGACTGTCCCAAACAATGGCTTGCAACACGGGTCTGCAAGAAAATATTAAACTAGTGAACATCTAAGTGCACTTCAGACGTCACACTTTAGTCCCATTCATGAGCCTTGTACTTGTTAAATTAAGATTGCACTTTTATCGAAAGTACATCTGTTAAGTCTCTCAAATTAAGTTTCACTCATTTTGACTTAGGTTCTTTAATGTTTATTACTTCATAACTTACAAACATATCTTCTTTTTTTTGCAGTTTATGAGTTAATTACTTCATAACACTCGATTATACTGAGTGTTTTCCAACCATGCAAGGTTAGCGTTTTGTCTTCTTGTGATGTGCTCCAGTTTTGTGATTAATATTTCTCATCTTCATTAAGCTTATTTATTTTTTCCGGAGCAAAATATGTTCTGCTTTTAAATATAATGGGTCTTTGAAAACATCTTCCATGGACCCATAAATATCCCTTTAAGGATTTTTTCATTCCTTATAAACAGCAGGACTATAAGGAAAGTATGAGTGTGTACTGTGCTGACAGTTCAGTATGCCTCAAAGCCTCCACCTGCTTGCTAGATTTCAGTGATTTGATCATCTGCAGTTTGGAAAGCAATTAAACGTCTAATTTATGTTCAGATACCCGGAAAGCATAATAATAGACATCCTGTGAGGTCTGTGTACTAAATGCCTGGCCTACTTATGCTGAAATCCATAAAAGAGGAGATTAATGTAATTCAATAATGGCCAGCCCACACAGTGAATTTAACAATATTTTCCTCTTGAGACTGCGACGAGACCAGAGCTGGCCCACCATTGGCTGGGCTCGGTCAGCTCGTCTGAATTGCTGCCATTCCAAAGCATAGAGACAATGCAGGAGTTGCAGCGGGTCAGCTCAGGATAGACTCCGAAGACACCGAGAGGCCGGACAGCATGAATGGTGGTAAGATGAATGACGTGATGGGTTTAGGGCTCCTGCACCTGGTTTGTTTTCATTAAGATTAATTGATTTGTTGAAGTCTTTAGAATATTTGAGGAGTATGGGAAATATGCCATCACAATCTCCCAGAGCCTTCAGCTTGTTTTGTTTGATAAACGGCCCAAAATATTCAAATTAAAATAATGTAAAATCGAGGAATCACCCGTGCTTGGCTAAATAAAAGAGCTAACAGCTAGTGTTGCATTGAGTTACATTATGATGGGTTTATGCTCCATTCAGTAAAAATGACAATTGGGCTAAGGTAAATTAAAACATTATTATGTGTTCATATTCTTGTAAGATGTAGTTTTTTGCAAGAAAGCTGAATAAATCCAATTGTTTGAAGAGATGTTTACTTACACAGCAATATAAAATAGATATTAGAGGGAAGTAGTATCTGTTTAACTTCAATCAGTAGCTATAAGCAGCTTATAATACATAATTAAAACTTGACAAGAATTTTTTTTAATCTAAACAAATATTTAATTAGGACTGCAAAAATGTACTTCTTAATAATTTGAATTGTGTGTTTTTATGCAAATCACCACTATAGATGACACTAACAGGGTAAAAGGATAACACTTAATTCAGAAAACTTGAAATTACATTTCGGGAAGGTTTCCGGAAAGTGGTGAAAGTGGTGAAAGTGGTGAAAGTGGTGGTCTGGAGCCTTGAAACCTGGACTTGCACTTAAATAAACTAAATTGGTTTAGTTCTGACAGATAATACTATTGTGTGGAATTTATTTAAGCAATAAAAATGTTGATTTTTCTAAAAAAAAATTATTTTCTCTTTTGTATATTTACTATTGCTCCTTCATAAAGCAGAAATATTTTTTATGGGATTATTCGATGGACTAATTGGTAGGATACTAAAATAATTGATAGCTCCAGCCCTACGAAGAAATCCTTCTGCACTCCATGAAGTGGTGGATTAAAACTTGAATGCATAGACCAAAGGATCACTGCCGGTAACCTTTCAACCTCCATCCCTCCTCTCATTCCTCTCTTATGACCACAGCCAGCTCTTCATGGGAGGGTCTTTTTTTTACTGGAAACGGCCAGATCTTTTGAGGCCGATCCCTAGTTAATTTATTTGTCCTGCCGGCAGGAGGAGACTGATATAGTGATCTGGGCAAGGGATCTGGAGGGTTCAGTTGTGTGTCAAAGACAAGGTACTGCTGGGAGTGACTTCAGCGTGAGTCAGCCCTCCCTCGGTTCCCTCTGTCCGTTTTACGTACTCTCCCTTTCTCTCTAAGTACCATGTGCTGTAACAAAAGCCATCTACTGGGAATATTGTTGTGGAATATTTCTTATGACTAGTCGGGAGAAGAAAGTGAAGGTTTTCAATCAATATAAAGTAAACAGTCTTGATGAACGATCAAGGTTTGTAAAGTCAATTTATTTGCAAGCAAAGAGAACAGTCTCACAGACACATTGCAGTGATCTGTAAGAGTGGTCTGCCTAACAGTCACAATGCATGGACATTTATGCTCAGACAGCTTCCTGTTATCTGCTTAGCTAACAAGAATACACAAAGGAGAACACAAATAAAAAACAGGTCATCCTTCCAGCCTTAGTATACTTCATTTAAGACAGTCAGGAAGATGCTTTAACTCCTGTTTGCAAATCCCTTTGTTCACAGTTTGCCTTACAATAAACAGTTTAAACACACAGCAGATGCTTCCTTTGAATGCTCCCTTAAAATGACCATTGCAGAGACAGAATAGACATTCTTTACCCTCACACATCATATATGCATGCAAAGGTTTACGCCTTTACAACTTCAGATAATGCGTCACAAAGGAAGTTAAAAGTATTTCAAACAGAGGATCGCTGTTAGTCAAGGCCTCTCTGTGTCTGTCTTACGAAGAAGAAAGAAACAGTGCACAATGATAACAGATAACAAGACACCTGGATACTAAACTAATTAAAGTCATCTACTGAAACTACAGTTTGGTGTCTGCTCTTTTAGGACTTACACTCTTTAAACCTTCACATGAGACTATGCCATATTTTCCCATTACAATATCAATCACCAGCGTGGATATTAAAGAGTTAACTTAGAATAATAAATGCATAAACAATGTAATGTTCACACCCAGGGTTGCCTCCCACTATAATCTGGGTATTAGCTATTAATCTTCCTTATCCCAGATATGAAGACATAAGCACTTTCCTCTCTCATTTCTCTCTGCAGAAACCTTAGAAACAAAAAGTCTATTCATATCCCCTATATCGATGCATCACAGTCATGATCTCATCAAAGAAACATGAGGTGGTAGCATTAACTCAGCGCACTAAATCCAGCCCTGCTCCTCCTCGCTACACTAAAATTTCATTTTTCATGTAATGGGCTGTCCTTTCTTTGCACCTTTTTACCTCAACATAATGGATAGTTCTCTTTCAGTACACCTCTAGGTAGAGATATGGAAAGTGGCCAGACACACGAAGGCTTCTTGAATGTCCTCTGAATAAGATGTTGTGTTTTGGGCAGTAGGTTTGGCTTCCATTATTTAACCTTGTCTCCAAAGAATTTGATTTATATGCTACGCAACTGTTTTTTGCCAAAATACGTTTTGGGTGAAATGTAAGTGCTGCAAAGATTGTAAGCATTTTGTTTTCCAGTTCCGTTTATTGGTATTATTCGTATGTAAACATTATCATATTCTGGAGACAGAGTTTTCCTTTTTGTTCTTTTAATATTAACTCTTGTTCTTTGTAAGTTGTCAATGGACAATTTTGTGGCCCTTTGGGAGCAGCAGAACACATGTATTACCGCTGTATAAAGTTGTTATGGCTAATGTATAAGCAAACAATTGCCCAATTACACATCCAGCAGACATGGAGTACCATCAGCACTGTTTTAGAGTCATGTTTCTAGCAATGCAACGAATGTAAGTCCAGTCATCACTCGTCTTTTAGCTCTGTTTTGTTCTGCTGCTAAACGCTCGTCTATGTTCATCAGAGGGTCACTAACTTCTAGCTGCTGCTTAGCTACTATGGTTGGAATTGACACTGGTAAGAGCAGTTACAAGTTGCCGGACCAAAAAAAAAAAAAACAACTGAAACCTGAACCTGATAATTGCCTCTGCCATGTGGGTTAAGTCTGTTCACTTTGTTTGTCAGCAGGATTACGGAAAAAAACTATTTTCATGGCCCGGTTTTCATGTAATTTGGAGGACGGGTGTAGCATGAGGCAAGGAAGAACCCATTACATTTTGGAGCAGATCTGAAGGGATTTCTTAAGGATTCAATTAGTGGATTCAATACTAAATCCAGATTGGAGATAAATGCTTACTTGGGAGGTAAGACTGAAAGAAAGTCTGTTGACGCTATTTCAACTAGCTTGTGTCAGAAGTGAGATTATCATAGTTTTATTGCAGAATTATTGTGAAGAAGTTCTGGGACGCAAGATCAACCAAGGATCCCCTTTAGCACCATGAAACTCACTGAAAGTCACCGAACATGCAAAATCAGCAGCCTCTCAAAGTTGAAGGAAGCCGGACTTTAAAATGCACTGCCTGGAAAACTCACATTTCCTTGTTTTCCAGAACAGGGTGGCGGTGGGGCCGTTGGTTAGACCTCACCTGAGCGAGGCCGTCTAACTATAGCAGAGGGGCTGTTTTCATTCTAAGCCAGACGCTTCCTCCCCGCCCTCTCGCTGCTAGGCCTGGTTCAATAAACACGGGCTTTAATTCGCTTTCGTTGCTCAATGCTGCAGCTTGACAGGTGGTCCATGAAAGCGGGTACCTGTGAATGCAGCAGCACGCACAGATTTCAGCTATCATCCAGCTGTGGTGATGAGCATGAATGGCTGCTGCTAACTCTGCAAAAGACGATTACCCCCAGAGTTAACTTGCTCATATTCCACAGTGATCAGCTGGGACGTCTGTTGTTGAAGTGTGCTTGAAACCTAAAGTTATTGTCGCACTATCCCTCTTGTCTTAAACTTTAAATACTGAAGTCTTTTTGTCTGTGCTCACACAGGCAAACTGCTATTACCACGGTGAGGTGGAGGGTCATGTCAACTCGGACGTCAGCCTCAGTACCTGTGCTGGTATCAAGTAAGTGTGTCAGACACCTTTTTATTTCCTAAAGCAAATGTTAGCCATAGCTGCACCGCACGCTTTGTAAGTGAGTATCACTGGCGGGACCCTCTCTGGTGCTCACTCTCACCTTAACCTCCAAATAAATTGGTTCAGGTAATGTGGCTAAATTGTTGGAAGGTTTACAACCTCTCTGATCAATTATTTTGATGAGCACAATGTCATCAAAACTATTAAAATGGTCATCAAAGCTATGAAAGTCAGATCCAGGTTGTAATAAGCAAGAATTATCCTTATAGTCTGACTTGAGGCCAAGTGTAAGTCTCAAGTGTCCAGCTCTGAGGAATGGCGTGTCAACAGACCTCAGTAAGTAATGAATTTTGCTATATTGATACGTTAAGCTGACACCTTGTATATACTGCTTAAAAGCAGTGAACTTGACTTATTGTAAGGCTTTAGACAGGTATGGAATTTTAGTGTTTGCAGATGTCACACAGGGGTAATGATTGCAGTAATATCATTGGACACCATCAGGAATGTTTTCCCAAACGAGCCAAACGACTACACCCTCTGCAGACCGAATCGCCTGATGGTGAAGCCCTTGCTGTTGCGCTTGGTCCTTACTATTTATTCATTACTACAACAAGTGATGCACAGAACTCTTTTTGACGGACAGCTACACATTGCCTGGCTCACCGAGACAATTTGTTCTCGGTTTGAGTTGGCAGAGTGCTCAGGCTTTTGGGGAGGGGGGTTAGTGTGAGTTCATGTGGTTGTGAATATTGTGCAAGGTTTGTGAGAATCTGACATTTTATCCAGACTCACTCTAAATCACAGAGGTTAAAAAAAAAAGTGAGAAAAAGTTAAGAAATAGAAAACAATGGAAAAACATCACAATGATGTATCAGGTTTTGTGGTTATGTTAGGATGTCACGCATGAGTCAGGATCCCTTCATATTCTTTATTTGCTGCATATCTTATATGTTTCCGTGCAATTCCAGTATTTGAATTCTGGAAAAATGAATATAATATGACGAGGCATGTTGTCCAACCTTTCCTCTCTCTGCAGGGGTTTCATAACGCTTGAAGGCAAATCCTACGTACTGGAACCATCTGCTGATCACTCCGATGGGACTCACTGGATCTACACAGCTGAACACCTCAATTTTGCCTCTGGCACCTGTGGCCATGATTTCAACATATCCTACCCCATTGAACATGCAGACAGCAGTCCGTTCAGGGCTTTCGGCACAAGGGTAAGGATCATTAAACTGTCTGTGCCCGCGGTGTGATTTGAAAGAGAGTGTCTATCTTCAAGACCTCCTACTTCTTCTTCTCTCTTTTTTTCAAGTATTCTTTAGCATTTTATGCTTTCATTACTAAGTTGAGAGTCGCGATGACAAGGGGTGGGAGAGACGGGGAATGACGTGCTTCAAAGGATCCCACCAGGGCGCCCGCTGTCTTTCTTTCTCAAACACATCAACAAAGTTTGCTTCTCAGAAGAAACGTTCTTCAAGCACATTCAGCTAGTACAAAGAAAAATAGATATTTCAAATGCCTTTACTGTAAGACGTTCAGCCACTTTTGGATTTTTAATGAATAGTTTACATTCCAAGTTTGGTGGCAGACAGTGGCTCTGATTGCACACAAAGTAGTGCTAAGATGTTGGATGTTACATTGACTGTGCAAATGCAGTTTCCACTATTCTTAGTGCATACAGTTTATTGTATTCAGATTGTATGCATATGGTGGTGTGTTCTACTCTGACATCCTAAAATCTGATTTAAAAAAAACATTGCCTCGCTCACATTATTGCAATATATTGCAATATGGTAAATGGTTACCCTCGCATCATGATATGTATCGCCAGATTTTTGCAAATGCACACAGCAACTTTTAATCCACAGGCTGTGCTTGCTGAAGTGTTCTTTGTGTTGACTTTGCATACTATTCCATTGTGATGAAATTATGCTGACTTCCTGTGGATTGTCTATATAGTAAACTGGGTGTAATCCATTTATTCTTTCAATCCTGTGAGGTCTGGTGTCTTTTAAACTATTAGATTGCCTGGAGAAATGCTTTCAACCTCCCTTTTCTCCTTGCTCATCACAGTCGTGCTGAACAATGTTTTTTCAGTCACCACTTTTTTTTTTTTTTGTCTCGCACTTAAAGCTAACGGAGCCCTTTTGATTCTGCTTTTCTTTGTGTTTGCCACTCAAATGTTTGCGTTGCTGTTTTAATCACACTGTGCTCTGAAAAGGATGTGAAGCAGACAATCTCGCATCAACCAGCTTCAGTGCAAAAAATGTCTTTCATTTTGTAGCTTGTATTTGGATTCCGGCTGCACAAAAAAAACATTTCTCACCCTTAACCTTCTTTAAAAAGGTAGTTTGCAATGTAGATATTGGTAAGTGGCCTGTTATATATTTTAGAAGCTACTTGTTGAATTATTCACTCATTTCTTCCATCTGATCTAACAGTGACCATTAGTGATGTGGCTTGTACGGAGAGCCGAGCTTGATAAACGCCTTTGGAAAGTGCATTGGCTGTTAAGTGACACCATTTGCTCCGAAAAGCGACATCAGACTGCAGGCTTGTACATCATGCCTTCAGCAGGACCCGTCCATCAAGAATTAAACAGATTGCGTTTTTAGAAACCCCACCCTATCCCACACCCTGCACTCAGTTCCTTTCTACCCCACTGAGCTGAGGGATAAATCATAAGGGCCGTGATCACAGGGAGTCTCTATCTTCGGAGGGAATAGGGCTTTTAAAGATGATGAGGGCCGATAAGTGGAGAACACAGACTCCAGTGATCTCTATCTGACTGGTGAAGGATGGCAGGAGTGTCCGACCACGGCTGATTTATCAGGTCAACACAAAGAGACACACAGATAAGTCGTGTAAAAGATGAAACAGATGTCCAAGGACCCAAGGAGGCTAAAGCACACATTCCATAATTGTGATGCAGCTTAAATGTGAGGGACTTTCCATTTCCTTAAAAATAATTTTTATTGTAGCAATTGTTTAATCATTTCATTAAGGGTATATTGAGTTTGAGTGAGTTCTGGGGACGCAGGCCAAACATATGGCTGTGCTGGCTAAAACATAATGCCCTTTCACAGTGTTCATTTTTTAGTTATTCATGCAGTCATGGGGTTTTTATGATGTTTTTACTGCAGTCTTTTTTTCATCCCTGCTGATGATTATAGCACTGGCTTCAATGGCAAGCTTTGTCATCAGCGTTGAGAGCGCTGCAAAGATTCAGCACAAGTGAAGAAATCCTGAAACAGCAGAAGTTTCCAACAGACAGAAATAGGTGTGGTCTAATTCTTATTCATAAGACGTACACGCGGTAATCCTAGAGGTGATTAAAAACATGAAACCAGATAATACGGCGACGGATATTTTCAAAAAACTGTAACCAGAGGATGAGCGGTCTCGTTCGTAGCGCAGAGAAGATCCACAAAAAAAGTGGGAATATATTTGCTGCACTATACAAGCAAGCTCACCTCCGCATCTTACACAAGGGGGCCGAGGTGTACTGCTGCTGCTTCGATAAGCTACGATGTGCCCTGCTCGAGGGGTCCAGAGATAACGCTGCGTGTTGGCAGAGTGCCTCTGGATGATGAGAGGGAGATTGTAGAGAAGGGGAGAGAGATATGATGGCTAGCTGACAGGAACTGCACGACAACAACACGAGTTCCTGCGAATATCAAAACCTGAACACATGTAATGGCATTTTGTGAGTGTCTTGTCTTTCATGGATAAAAAAAAGAAGAATATTGGGGCAGAAAAGGTCATTGCTGAAGTGGACTTTAATACATATGGATTGAACGGACTCGGAACAGTTGGATGCTGTAGCCTAAACTGTGGACGGTGAGAATAATCTAATCACAAAGCTCCATTATACGGTTTCTATCTTCATCCACACCTGAGCCAGCCCCATTTGCTTAATGAAGGCAATGAGGCAATGTGCTTGAAAGTTCCAGTAAGCTGGTCTTTGTTCTTTAAATTCTCTTTCTGAACTCTTTCTTCACCTTAATCCTCCGATATTGAAGCAGAAGTGGTGTGTAAAACAGGAACTGAGGGAAGAAGAGGGAGAATATTTTTGCCATTTCTGTGATGTTGAAGATTTTAAATGTTTGGAGGTTGTTGGAAATATTTGACAATATATTGATAGTTTCTTCCTCTTCGTCTTCTTTTATACACATTGACTGAATTGGATGCAGAAACCTATGTTTTCCATTTCCCAGTGGTAGTTTCAGCTTCATGGTGACAATGAAAACATGTGTTGTGTCCTGTAACCTCTAACTCATCGGACTGTAGTCACAACAGGGACGCTCATCTTTGCTGAGTTGATTGAACATCGTGCTCGTGTGTGTGTCTACCTTCCAGTGGCCTCCCAGAGACTTGGTAATCACCATAGCACACTTGCCCATCCTAGCTTATCTATGGAGGAGGCAGATAAGAGCAGAGAGGATCCAGGCTGCCAGGCCAGCACGGATAAAGAGGCTCAGGTTGAAAGTGGGCCATAGTGTGAAGGCAGAACACTTAGCCAGCAGGATAGTATAGGATCTGTGTGTGTGTGTGTGTGTGTGTGTGTGTGTGTGTGTGTGTGTGTGT